CAGTGGAAATGAGGCTAGGATACTGACCTCATCAACATTCTCAAAGGCATTGATGACATCATATGGCAGGCACGAAAGCAAATCAATCACAAACCAGGTCTTCAGGTAGTTCATGCGGATCAACTTAGGATCCGAGATGACCTCTCCTGCTGGTCCAACAAAGGTGGTATGGAAGTTAAGTACAATGTCTACCAAAAAAATGACATCAACAATGCTGTCCACTACCAGCCAGGCCACGTTGTTCTGTTTGGTTTTAAAGGAGACATTGTAAGGGACTAAAATAGCTGTGTAGAAGGTTAAAATCAGGATGATCCAGTCCCAAGTCGTCTTGAAAACACAATAATGTAAAATGATATGTGGTGGGGTCTTTGGTGCCTCTTGCTTGTACTGTGGAAGGATTTCAGAGCCCAGTTGAAGGACCTGCGGTGACAGAGATTTCAGAAAAGAAGGAAACAGATTTAATTTTTTTAAATTATTGTGTACTTTTTGATTCTTGAGCTCAGCAAAACATTTAATAAAAACATAGTGCCCATTACAAAAAGCTATCTCCTTTGAACATTGTAGAGCTGTAAGGAAAAAATGTAAGTATCCTTTTACATAAACTAGTAGCATCTGTTTTTCCCCTGCTAATACATTTTTTGTTCAATTTATTTCTAACGGTTATTATATTTATTACAATACATTGATGCCAAAAATCAAGACTGGAGCACCATTCTGGTGGATACCAAAATGCACACAGCCCAAGAAAGTTCTTGTCCTGAAGGTTTAAAGTCTAAGCATGCCTATACACATGCAGGGAGGCTGCTCCAATGTGTTGTGATTACAGCACATTGGAGCAGACTTGATTAATTACTGCACTCCAGCAGACTCCAGCATCATATGCATCAGCATTCCCGCACTGAAAAATAGCAGCAGGGCACTTTAAACTGAAGCTAGTTCAATGAGCTTTAGTTCAAAGCACCCCACCTCCATTTTTCAAGCACGGGTACGCTGATACACATGATCCTCTTGGCACTTTAATTAGCATGGCTCTTGGAGCTGCACTAATTAAAGCTCTCCTGCCTCCCGGAGCATGTCTTTAACACCCTAAGGGTACAGGCACACAAAGAAGAAACCAGAAGGTAAGCCAGGATATAAACTAGCAGAGCATTAGCTACTCTGCAATAATAGTCCATGTGTATGTTCTTACCCCATGACAAATGCAAAAAAAAAGCAAGATAATATACCTTGCACTTGCTGCAGGGTAAAAACATACAAGCAGCATGTTCACAGCCTAAAAGGACAAGACACACAAAAGGTAGGAAGGAAATTAGAGGCAAAAATTACTTGCATCAGGCATAAAAAACTCAGAACTAGTCAGCCCAATTCCCAACAGAGTGCTACCACTCTTGGATCAGGGTGCCTCACAACATTGGTAATGTAACACTTTGCCATACTTACCACAGTAAGTTATGCTGGCTTTTAATTTTCATTTCTCATCAAGATAAATTTAGAGATCAGGAGTGCTGAATACCTGCAGCTTATCAGCATCTGTTTATGTTAGCCCTTGAGCCTAAATTCAGCAGATCACTTATACAAATGCTTAACTTCATGCACATGCTAAAATACTGTTCACTTTGAACTGTGTACATGCTCACATGCTTTGCTGAACTGGGGACTTTACTTGATTTACCATAATGACTATGAATTTACACACTGGGATACCTAATAGTAGCATCAGGTCAAGAACAGGCTGCTTCTTTCACATTGGCATAAGACAGAAGTTATTCCATTTAAGTTAGTGGATGTACATGGACATAAAGGCAGTGTGAGATATAAAAAAAAGTGAAGGTTTACCATGGACCAACTACTGGTAAAAGTTGAAAGGAAGACAAAGATGGCATCTGAGAAAGATAAGTTAATGCCAAAAAGGCATCCAGAAAAGCTACCTAGATTTTGCATCCTCTTTTATTCTCCATTATTTGCTCTACAGAATAATCTGAAAGGGAAATTAAATCACTGAAGCTTTGGGAAGAGGTCCCACAATACACTTGTAGTGGGAGAGGGTCTTCCATTCATGCTCTATACCTCAGCCTTAGTGTCACCTAGGATTGTGCAAACCTCTGTCTACAGACTTTGCTGAGCCTTGTTAAAACCATCTTTGGTGAGCTGATGGCTCCCTCCAACAAGTTAAGCCAAACAGGAAAACTAATCAGTTTCCTATTGGAAAACTAATCCAGTTTGTTGCCTATTTAGACAAAGCCTGAGGCTTGACTCTCTGCAGCTCTTCACCTCATGCAATCATTTACACCCAAGCAGAGCGGTGTAAAATACTACCAGATCAGTTTAGTAACATTTACAGCTGTGCAAAGCAGGTGTGAAGTAGGTGTCTGAGGTACAAGGCAAAATCAAGCCTTTGACTGTCAGAGCCCAACACCTTCTCCAGAAGGCAACAACACTGACCAGACCAGAGTTACAGAGATTTGCAGGCTGAATGAGCCAAAGACTAAGCTCAGTTGGAACAGGTTGGAAAGTGTATGCAAACTCTGCCATTTTAGCACCACTTAATTTCCAGATCCATGAAAAGCTGTCCACTGAAGGCTAGGATTTGCTTATGGCCACTAAAAATTGAAATCAGACTTTTGGTGGTCCTAGATTTGATTCAACCATGCCTCCATGCAACAGAAAAATATGCCTCAGGGCAGAAGAACCTTGAAGTGGTGCAAGGCAGCAGCAACCTCCTGTCTCAGGAGTTTTGGAGCAGTCAGAGCATTCCCCAGAAATAGCTGGCAGAAGAGGACTGGGCAGGTGCCCCTGGCTAAGGTGGCACATGGGCAGTCCTGTTACTCTGGAGCTCCACCCATAGATAGTAAGGTGGAAAAAAGCCTTACAAAAAGGTAGTACTGCAAATACCTCCTGCTCTACCCATGAGGCAATTTGTGCCCCTTACGACCACTGGAACTGGATGACCTTGACTTCAGTGGGAATATAACATAGGCAGCAATAGTTAGATATAGTCCTTTGTTTGGAATACGATCCAATGGGCAAAAGGACTAATGTAATCAGTACATTCTGATTACCAAAAACAAACGTGTCACCCACAATTTTAGGTAAACTCCAGTGTCACTTAGGTGATATATTTGGGGGTGAAGTAACTAAATTTTAGTTCATGATGAATGAATCCCTGCAGCACTAGGATGCTTCTATCATGTCTTTAATGCAGAGCAAAACTAAAGTTGCTCCTTATATCATCAGAAGGTCCTTAGGGATGAAAGTGGCCAAGTTTAGCATATACTTACATTACGATACATAGACACTGATACCTTAATGTAATCTGACGTTCTGGGAACCAGTCTGATAACTGCTTTCTTCCATATTTTCTCACATGCAGCATATACTTTTTCTCCAAAAAACAAGCTGCTGGAAATTGAAGTGCGTTTTATATGGCTCTGTTCCCTAGCTGCTACTACTCAGTTACTTAAGACAAGGAAAGATTTTTTTCCTCATTCTGCCTTTCAAAAACAAGGTGTACATTATATTCTGGGGCATGTTGCATGCATGGAAATACTGTAAATCTGTAAACACAGATGTTAATCTCAACAGCAAAAATCCCTGGAATGTAAACATCTTATTTTTAGTCTGAAGGAAAATATATATATACTAGCCATTTGCCCGTCAAGAATGATGGGGGGGGGGGGGGG